GTGATCAGTCTTTTCCTCGTTTGATGACCGATAAGACTGGACAACCTTGACAGACAAGTCTCACAAATTTCCGATGCTTATTTCTGACTTCAGGCATAAGCTTTTGCCATACTAAACAGCTAATGAATAACCCAGTACGACAAAGAATGGGTACAGGGTTTACGCAATTTCATGCGAATCTGAATATTTGCCGGGGTTCGTTTTCTCAGTCGCATTGTGAATACCAGTGGGTGTGCTTGTAGGAACGACTAGATCTGGATCTTTAATTCGGAACTTAGGTGTTTTAGGGCCAAGATGCGACGGACAAATCAACCTTGTTGTTATTTGGAACTTTGCAACGTCTTTCACGAGCGCTTCCTGCCCAATTTCAGTCAAATATGCAGGTAAGTAAAAACGAAGCTTACTCAGACGATACTCATTTTTTCACTGCGGAATTAGGAATAATTATTTCTTAACCCTCCAAACTAAAAATAACTGGAGTAGGTACCACAGATTGCTGAATGTCCCACAAATGTCCCACAGACACAATCAAGCTGTTTTCTCATTCTCACGCAACTAGATCTCAGGTGGAACTTGCAATCGTTACAGGTGCACTATGCATACAGATGCACCATACGACAGCATGCATAACTATGCGTAATACATTATTATGCCTAACCATAATTGCATATAAAGGACACGCTCCACCAAATCACGGGTCGAAAGGAATAAGACCCATGTGCGTCCAAACGTATTACGGGCAAATTCTACGTTGCTGGAGAGTCTCACTGACCGAGAAGGACGGGCAACGCCCCGCAGTTTCGGCGGCCTGTTGATGTCACACTGACCCATTTTTCCATTTTGACCATTGACCTCTCACGTGTTGCGCTTATGAATATTAAGGCGCGATTGTTTGGGTGGCTGTCCGGAGCATTACCATAGTGGATCGATGGTGGAGCCCGCACGCAACGCGCGCTGTAATGGAGCACAGTCAAATGTCCGGGGTGTACTGAGCTCGCCCTCCGGCAGCCGCCCACCTGGTGCCCGCACGTGGCCGGTCGCCAGTGTACCGCGGGTTACCTGCCCGCCCGGCGCCCGCACGTAACCGGTCGCCAGCATACCGCGGGTTACCTGCCCGCCCGGTGCCCGCACGCAACCGGTAGCCAGTGTACCGCGGGTTACCTGCCCGCCTGGTGCCCGCACGTAACCGGTAGCCAGTGTACCACGGGCCTCCCGTCCGTCGGGTGCCCGCACGTAACCGGTCGCCAGTGTACCGCGGGTTGCCTGCCCGCCCGGTGCCCGCACGTAACCGGTAGCCAGTGTACCACGAAAAACACTTTCCATTTTCGCACCGTGGAAACAATTCTTGGTGAGTTCCAGACAGTTAGGGCCATGGGTAGAGAACACCGACCCACCAGAATCCCAGCTACGACATGCAACAAGATCGCGGCGCGAATATTGCTTACATCCTACACAATTGGTAGGCACTGTACCACAGCCGACAGCCGTTCGGCATAAAGCATGGGTGCGGCTTCCGGAGCGCCAAGTCGCCAACGCCAGGAGCCCGCACAGAGCCCGTCCAACCCCCTCCCCCCCCCCCCCCAAGGCTATAACGATGTGTGGCCCGGGCAGTCGGGGACGCGACCGGCACCATCCCTTGAGGGACGACATTCATCTTGCTGAAAGGTACCCTCATACGTTTATGGCGATCAAGGTTGATGTACGGCGTACGCAAAGAATACAGTTCATATGATGTTGCCGTGGTTATACGCCTCCTAGGAGACTCATTGCTACGAGCACTGAGTGCGGTGCAAATAGTCGACGCGCATTCTCTAAGCGTTCTTTGATTACACTGAAACTGAACTTGTGTGGTTTTCTCAACTAGTCTGACGATCCTCAGAGGACCATCGCAAAACTTTATGTGACACCTTCATGGACGGGCTTGGTGGTGGCTGGACGGAGACGTTTGCCCATGTTTTGTCCCATCATAATTTAACCATCGTGATGGATACGACGGCCTGTTCCGTTGTCCATACTGACATTCTGAGCAACCTAGTATCTTGTCGACCGCCTCACACCGATCTGCCATCATTACATCCTTCGATTGGGTGACGTGGACGGGGCAGTCTGCGCCTAAATTTCAACGACATGCCCCAAACGGCTTCGGAAAACCCACCGTAAAAGTTAGGCGCGGTGGAATTCCGTCCGCCGCTTGCCAGAAATACGTTTAAGTGATCTTAGATGCCGAGTCAGCACCGCGGCACGGGAACCTAAAGGTGGAACTTCAGGCGTTCTTGCTAATCAATGTATTTCTGTCATGACTCCTGATACTCAGCATACGCGGCAGAACGCAAGAGCTTCCTTCTCCGCACATCCGCCAAATTCCACAGCCCGATCAGACGCTGTGACACAATCACACCATGGCACATTCAGTGAAGCGTTACAGGTCACCAATGGATCTGGTCAGATTGTACGGAGGGGTGCCAACTTCTTGCCTTCTGACGCATGCGCAGACACAGCGCGAGCCTATCATTGTAACACCGCTTCGCACCGCGCCGTCGCGCTTTGACAAGCGCCGTAAATGACTCCGCTCCAAAGAGGCTGCTTCCGAAATCTGGCGAGAGGTGGATGAGTGACTGGTAGCAAGGTGGCGCTGCCGTCGCGCGGAGCTGGCTCTCGAAGTCGCGGCTCCACGATCCTCTCCATCTTGCGCCCTGGGTAGTAGCCTTGCACTTGGCTGGTATCGTCTCATCTGCAGCATGTCATGAGAACTGTGCTTAAAAAGCTGTTGAGCCACCTCTGACAAGAGGTCAGGACAGGCATGTAGCAAGGCGAAAGAGGGGGTCAAGTCCCTGCACTCCAATGCGCCAACAAATTTGCTCTGTAAATATTAAATGATTGACCTCAGCGTTGAGTCCTATGGAAAGGACATGCGGTTTCCCAAACGATTTCGTTATAAACGGGTACGCAGCAACATGGGATCTGCTTAGGCCGGGTGTAGTCATTATTTTCCAGAAGTCGTGAAATGTTAGATGTTTTTAGGCCATGCCCACTTCTGTCAAATGAACGATCGAGAGCAACGCAAGTATTTCAGAATGGACGCCGTTTAAACCCTGACTTCGCGATGGATGGTATGGTGACATGATACTATGTGCCGACTTATGCATCATTTCTTTCAAGCCTGAGCGGGAAAATGGCCAATCAAAGGCAAGAGATCATATCGCACCTGGTTTACGGTCGTCCCAAAACAATAAGGAAACCGTTTATTCAGCACATGTGACACATATGGGGATGTGCTTTAAAGGCAGAACTACATAAAGCGAATACATCATTTTGGAAACATGTAAACACATCAAGGTAGGTAATATTTTACTTGCAAAAGTCACCTCCCCATTGCAACATTACAATATGAATAAATTATCATTTGAGAACGCACGGCACACTCACCAGAAAAGTGTGTGGGGAAAAAAACATTCGATCTGTGACAGAAGTTTTTGAGGATAACATAATTCGTTGTCCAGGTGACGTCAGACTACGTTGCGGTACCGACTGTAATTATTTGGGCTTTATAATCCTTGCACACACTTTGTCATTCCATTACACGGCAGCGCACACAGCCCGATCACTGGGAGCAGCAGTCTAGTTTTCTCGCTCACCTGCACTACCTGATTGAAGGTAATCGCAGCCTATAAAAATATGAAATGTTTAAATTGGTAACATAACAGGCTGTTGAATACTAGTGCGAATAGAGCCGGCGGCCGATGAATCAAATATATCGAAACGTCTACCCACTCACCATCCGTTTAGAATGCGGGCATGGCGCGTACGTCCACTCGCTGCGCAGCGCTTCCAGGTTCAATTTCAATTTCAGTAAATAAAATAGTTGCGATTTTTCTAACACTTTCTTCGTAATTGGCTGTAAATATAAAATGCCCTGTGCATCTTGAAAAGTACCGATAAGAAAGTACCCCGTTCATTTTGAAAAATTCATAATGATAACGATCAGTACCATATTTTTGGTGGCTCAAGCCGTTAAACATATTTTTGGCGGCTCAAACCGCTCGTTTATGACCCATGCCTTGACTGTTGCAAAATATGATATGTACACCACCAGGCAACGAGCGGCAGCTCCGACAAATAACGTGCTCTTTATTATGGTAGATTGGACCTTTGGCTGTCAAGACTGTTGGCAGCATTGGACAGGGCAACAGGTGACTTCTATAAGAGAGGAATTTGTCGTAATTCGTAAATAATTTGTCGAATTTGCCGAAAATTTAATCGGATTTTGGAACGTATGACTTGCTACTAGGTGTAAACATTCGATGACTGATGTTGATCGTGTTAACGTTGATGGCGTAAATAAAGTGGTGTGATGTGACACAATTCTATAGAGAATAAATACGGAACACACCCCCCCGAGTGTCAACTACTTTTAGGACGTGAGCAGGAAATCCTGAGCAAGAAAAGACGGCATCAGAGCAAGGTCACAACACACGTTTCTTTACCTATCTTTTGACGAACTGTTCAAGTGGGGCTCTATCCCACAAGAGGTCAGGAGTCAGGTACGACGTCATCACCGCGATAATGTCATCCTGATCAGCAGCACTCGTCCACTGGTTCACTTGTGCGGTATTTGGTACATGGTGTTTGGAAGAGTCCTCTTCCCGCAGAGTTTGGTCTCCACGATGACAGGCGCCGCTCGCGCAGCTCGCGGACTGAGCGCCCGATGAGGCGCCGTCGGCGGCGGTTTGTACTTGCAGGATCGCGCCGCTCGGACTGGGTCTGGGCGGCTTCGCAGCTTCGCGGCGTGCTTCGCAGCTTCGGAGCGTGCTTCGCAGCTCACAGGACACGCCTGGTCTTCAGGCACTGCGGCGTGCGCTTGTCCCCCATCCAGACGTGCTGATAAGCGCAGTGCTTGGCCAGGAATCGGCTGGCGTAGAAGCGCGCGGGACACAGGCCGCAGCTGTACTTGGGACGCACCTGCACGCGCAGGTGCCGCTCGTGCACGTGCGCCACGAGCATCAGGTGCTCCGGAAAGCAGGCCTTGCACAGGTTGCACCTGTACATAACAGTGAAGGCGGTGGGCGGCGGCGCGGCGGCGGCCGGCCGACTCAGGTACACGGAGGGAGGCGCGCAGGGGCGGCGGCAGCTGGTGCAGCCCAGCAGCCAGGCCAGCCGACGACGCGGCGCCCGCAGCGGCGGCATCTTCGCCAGCCGCCAGCGCACCAGGTCGTGCGCTGAGCTGTCGCTCGCTTCGAGCGCCGGTCGCACGGCGGCGGCGCCCTCGTCCGGCTCTGGCGAGGCGGCGTTGGTGCCGTCGCGGACCAGCACCAGCGGGTCGAGAGGCGCAGGTGACGGTGACGGCTCCTCCAGGGCCGTCGGGCGGCGAGGCGAGCTGACGAACTGGCCCGTGCCGTACGCCCGGCCGGCCGAGCCGCTCAGCTCAGCCTCGAGCCGCGAGAGTTCGGAAACGACCCGACCGACCCGCTCCGCCGCCGGCCGCGCCTCCTGGCGGCCGACGCGCAGGATGCCCGGCCGCGGCGTGCCTGCTGCCACCTGGCGGCATGACGGCGAGTCGGGCGCGATCAGCTCGGTCGTGGCGGCAAAACGCAGCGTCTTGGGCGAGCGCGGCGGACACTGGGAGCGTGGCGTGCTGGCCGCTGCCGGGCAGAAGGACACCGCAGTGCGGTGGCGCGGCCGAGCCAGCGCGCCTGCGCCGCACGGTGAACCAGCGTCGTCGCCGAGCCGCCGCTTCACTTCCGTTTCGCAGCAGACGGGGTAGACAAGCGCCGCTACAGCCCCGCCGCCGCCGCCCGCGCCCGCGCCGCCGCTGCCGCCACCACCACCCGCTACATCGTCACTGACATCACGGCTCTCTGGCGGCGAGGCGCTCTCGGTACTATAGCCGGAGGAGCTCTTCTTGTCCGCCGGGTCGTGCCCCAGCTCATCCGGCTCGGGGTCTGGGCAGCGCACATACAGGCCCGACCACGTGCCCAGCTGCTGCTCCATGTGGTTCAGCTGGCTGATGTCCGAGTACAGCTGGTCCAGACACTGTGAGAGGTCGAGTCGCTGTAGGTCGCGGATCAGGTTGTCAAGCTCGCGACCGTGGCGCGGGCCAGGCGGCGGCGGGAGCGCGCCGCGGTTGCCGCGCAGTGCTGGCATCTATCAGTGTCACCAGTAAGCTGTAGTTACTGCATCACTCGGGCGTCTGCGAAAAGACCGATAGGTTGGGTCGGTCAGCACTGCGAGAATGCATTGAGCGGTGCGATACAGATCAGGCAAAGTTGTATTCTGCGAGTGGTGGCAACTAATCGCACCCTAATTATGGTATAAGAGGCGTTCGAATGCGATCGGATACTGGATCAATAAGTGACAACACGCTACATGCAAGGCTGGTTTCGCAAATGGAAACCGCTTAAAACGGCTCAAAGGTTTATGTTGCACGTACAGCTAATAAAAGTTGCAGTACGAAATATTATGATCTCTGTTATACGAGCGCAATACAGATAGCTTGTAAGGAACGCTATAAATACTTGCCGGATGGCATCTTAAGTCTGACCAAAGCTACAGGCATATGCTAGGTTTCATAAATCATTGTAACACCTGAAAATGATGGAGAGTTTTGCTTTTTGCGGTTCACCAGCCAACGATCAAAATGCAAGACACACGACCCAAGTAAGCACGTAGGGAAGCAGAGACCAAACACGTTTAAAGGGCCATATCCAGACCATTACAAGCTGCTCCTGACTATCGCAATCCCTTTCCCCTCGACCATGGGAAGCTTTAATCGCCATCATGAAGACTGCACATGCTGACAAGTACAGATTTTCATCCCCGACACCAACATCCGACAACTCCGACGCCCCCGACGCCATTATATTTTCTTCCCCTACATCACTGTTTGTCGTCACTGTCAGCTGCCATCCCGACAGTGTAAATATCTCGTCCCGACCATAAGACCCACTCACCCCGACTATTAAAACCACTCAACCCGGCCATCAGAACCACTCATCCCGACTCTCAGAACCATCCGTTCCGACCATCAGAACCATCCGTTCCTACCATCAGAACCATTCGTCCCGAAAATCAAAACCACTCATCCCGACCGTCAGAACAACTCAACCCGGCCATCAGAACCACTCATCCGACTATCAGAATCACTCATCCCGATCATCAAAACCACTCATCCCGACCATCGGAACCATTCATCCCGGCCATCAGAACCACTCGGCCGACCATCAAAACCACTCATCCCGACTTTCAGAAGCACTCATCCCGACTTTCAGAACCACTCATCCTGACCATCAGAACCACTCATTCCGACCATCAGAACCACGCATCCCGACCATCAGAACCACTTTCTCAATCACCACAACTTCCGTTACGCCCGTTGGGACATTGGAACGGCACGACCTGTCCTTTCTAGGTTCCCATCCCATCCATCCCAACATTGATTGCTCCAAACATCTGGTTCCGATCATCGGAACATCACCCAACCAAGCCGTTGGAACCTCTCATATTGCCCATCGTTACCTCTGATCCCGACTGTAGGCCATTGTGGGGCCATTGCAGGCCACAGGAGCACCAGCCATCTCAATCATGGGAATGCTTCAGGCACCAGGGCGATCAGAGCCTCTCACCCCGATTAGGGAACCCCTCGTGCCCCATATTTCCAGGGCATTCGTTTCTACTGAGTTTAGGTCTTGATGAATTACCTTTTGCCGTCGTGTTTGAGGATTCGTACTGGTCGTGCGAAAACACTAAATGGGTTTTAGTTAAGACATTTGCTCTCAGGGTGTGAAGAGGACCATCACAGTACTGGGACCCCCGCATAAAAAGTCTTGGTTGCGCACCTGTTACAACCACGCATCGCAAACTTAAGACCTCTATCGTGAACTAAATATCTCTATCGTGAACTTAAGACTTGTCGTGACGTTAAGCCCCGACCACCGGAGCATCCCAGCACAAGCATCGGAGCCTTTCCCTCCAACCATGCAGGCCTCCTTCCCGGCCTCCGCACTGCCGATAGCTCCCGCTGGCTCCCGAACTGTTCCAGCTGTCCAAGAGCAGACCGCTCTGCTGCGAGCCTTCCCCATTCGACACTCGCTGTTTTGTCCTACAAAAACACGCTTGCTCCATGCTGCGCCGCTGACGGTGTTTACCAGCAGCGAGGACGGCAAAATGGGACGGCAGGCGCTCACGTGTGGGCGCCACCCGCCGCAGACGGGACAAATACGGAGCGAAACAAAAGGCGCGCCGTGCCGCGGCGTAAAACACGCGCCAAAAACGCGTGCGCGTCGTGCCGGCGACTTCGAGTGGCGCGTTTTTGTGGTGCGCGGGCGTGTGTGGGTCAGCTGAACTAGCGTGTCTAACCAGCTCGGGTCACAGAGGTCAGGAGGCTGTCGGCGGCGTGACCGCGGCTGCTCGCATCCTGACCGGTGCATTTGACCGGGACAGGGTATCGCTGGGGTGACGAGGATACAAATGTTGACAACTATTGACCCCCAGCAACCGGGACTGGTTGCCGAATCGGTGCTGTCCGGTGCTTAACACGTGAACCAGCGACCAAACATTTGCTGTGCACGCAGTAGCTGCGGTCGTTGGCCTTACACTCGCATGGTAGCCAGCGCACTTCGAGCCGAAACACAGGCTGTTTGCCCCTTCTACCCAGTGAGCGTCTCACGTACCACAATGCACACAAACGCCATGATTAACAGGAACATTAACCGGGGCCAAACAGCCTGAAGGGAGTCGCGAGAGCAGCGATGCAAGCACAGCAGCCCAATATGGACCGTTTGCTATGTGAGACAGCACGTGGCTTCGCGAAGTCGACATCTATAGCATGTAACAACACCGCTTTAAAGTGCTCCAGTGGATACATCTCCCAACATTAAATTTACCTACGCATCATGTAATGCTGTTGCTATGTCATGAGTTTGAAATTCTTATGCAGAACATTCCTCGAGCTTCAGTGCACCACAAGGTACTGCTTAAACGACGATGCAAAGCATTGGTGATATCGAAAAATATTCGATCTTAAAAATCGAGCTTTCTGAACATAACCAATGCTTGCTTAATAAGATCACTTAACCAGTGCCTCCCGGTGTATACCAAATCGGCTATTCTCGGCGCAGGAACTCCAAGCCACAATGCGTGATAACCAGGATCTTAAGGCCTTTCTTGACAATACCAAGGTGTTTTTTCACCCACATCTTTCCTTTATCAATATCGGACCCAGAATGCGGATCTCAAAACTACACGGCACACTGTTGACTTGGGCTTCAAATGCAAATGAAATACGGTAAGTCGCAAAATTCGCGTTGCTGTTGGTGCCGGAGTAAAACTTGAACTAATCTGGAGAGGGCAAGCCAGCCAAAGGAAAGTGAATTTTGCGACTTATTGCATTTTATCCGAATTTGAGACCGAAATCAACAGTGCACTATTTAAAATAAACATCAAGGTGTCAGATGATTGATACTGCTGGGAGGCTAGCTTTTAGTTTTAAGTTATCTATAAGCGACAGAGGCAATTTGTGCCTTGAAAATGTAAAGGTTTCAGCAAGGAAAATGAAGTGCATAATTTGACATAGTCTCGCCTTGTTTTCTCTCAACCATGATGGCTTGCATCACATAGTCACCGGGCAGCTTGTCAACCACTTCCCCTATCATGTAAAGCGAGTTGAGGGCAGGGGAAAAATGAGTTGTATGGGCGGTGGGTTGCAAATGATATATTGCGCGCTCGTGGCGGGATACTTAACGCACGCTTCAAACACAGCCTGCCACATGTCAAAACATCGCGTCTGGACCGGTGCCTCGGGCCGACGGGCGTCTGCCTTCAACACCTCTAGACCGCGACCTGCCCCAGACGGCCGGCCTCGCTGTCAGTCAGGTACCGTCGAGGTGCCCCTCCCCTCCCCTCCCCCTCCCGGCCGCCGCCGCCGCCGCCCCGTCTCACCCAGGTCCGTAACTCAGTCACTGCCACGGCCGCCAGCCGCGCACGCGGCCCCCCGAGCTGGGCGGAG